GGATCAAGTTGCTTCATCCTTATAGTACTGCTGACCCAGAAACCCTACTTACCACTGCAGGATGGCACTATCACCTGCAGTGAGGACAGCTGTCTCGGGATCAGGTGGCACTCTGTATCCAGATGCTCATCCCGTGTCCTGGTGCAGCTCTGCAATGCACCAGTGCCAAGTTCCCCAGCAGTGATGCTCGCTCTTCCTCTGCCCACATCTCACCTCCTCTGACCGCCTACCTACCTTCTGTGCCCCTGGGTCTGCCACTCACTGGACACTCTGTGGCCTAGAACACACTCCTGACTTCACTGACCTGAGATTTTTATCTCCAAATGGACAGTTCCCATTTCATATAGTGAAAGGAGGTAGAGTTGGGTCATGTGTGGCAGCAGCCCCTACCTCATACCATGTGAGCCTACGGTGGACTAAAGGCCTACATCCAGTATCTATAGCTGCAATAACTTAGTAAAGACAAAGGGGAATGCCCACATGACATTGGATTTGGTGGTGAATCCTTAGATATGACATGAAAAGCACAGGAAACAATGACAACATAAGATAAGTGGTAGTTCACCAGAATTCACACCTTTTGTTCCTCAGGGACACTATAGAGAGACTGGATAGGCAACCATCAAATTGGGGAAAATATCTACAAGTTACAGATTTGACAAATGCTCACCACTACACCAACAGAACAGTTGGGTGGGAAATGTGGTATCTCCACTGTCACAGGCCTCATTGGAGGCCAAGTTCTCAAGGACAAGGACAGTTCAAAGACCATATCTCCACAAGGTCTCCATCTGTGATTCATTTTTCAGTAAATGCTGGCAAATATAAGAAGTGCTTATTGGGAGTGTGGTTAGGGGAATAAAAGAAAAGGCTGAATTTTACAACCTGGGTGAGCTTTTCATCCTTCTGGAGGTGATTGCCCAATTTTAATGTCATGCTATGACACATCACATTTTTAATGACTTAAAAGTGGTTACCAGACTTGTGTTAGAATCATCTGGTGCCTGCAGTAAGGGACCCTGGCCTACCCCCAAGCTTGATTCAGTTATAGGCAGTTATGATCCAGGGACCACGCACTAAAAACCAGATTCCTGTGGTTAGAGGGCAGTTAGAGGATTTAGCCAGTGTTCGCATGGCACACACTTCCTAGGTGCCTGGTTCTGCGCTGACCTCTGCCTCTTTGCCTTTTCCAGAGGTCTTGTGGTTCCCAATCTGGACACAAGGTGGTGCCCTGTGCCCACAGTGTCCACTCAGGTATGGGATGGGCAGTAGGCCCTTCACCTGTGCAAAGGACATCTAAAGTAGCCCTGGGAGTATGCCCAGGGGTGGGTCAGATGAGGAAGGCTCTCTGTCTGCCAGACACTTGGGGAGGCCTTCACATCCCAACAGGCAAGATGGGCCTTCTCTAGGTCTCACATGTCCCTGGCTACCACATGGTGCCTTCACCCCATGCTGCCTCCCATGTGGCCATCTTCCCCTTCTCCTGAGGAATACTGTTTCTCTTCCAGTGAAAATCAGAGTCAGCAGAGGACTGATCTGAACAAGTGGCTCAATCTGGGGACCAATGTACAAGTTAAGGGGAAGTCCAGTGACTGCAGATCACAGTTACAGTCAGTGACCCAGGATTTGTGTGAGTGGGAGCTAGGGAGGGCTGGCTAGTACCTGGAAAATTCTGGATGGTCAGAGAAGCTGGAAGGCCTCAGGGAAGGGAAAGAGATTGAAGGCCATAGTTGGAGTGGTCACCTAGGCATAAGGGAACCTGGGAGGTCTCTTCGCAGTGTTATCTCTCTATTCAGAAGCTGGAAGCCCTAGAGTACTGTGGGCCTCTATGCCAGCTGTGCCCCACCTAGTCAAGCCCAGGTGGCAGAGATGGAGGTTCCTTCCAAAGGCAGGCCTGTAGGTGCACCAGGTCTTATCTGTGAAAAGAGCAATGGCAGGTGGAATGGTCTAATGAATGCACCTCAGGTCCATAGCCTTATCCTGAGCTGGATCCCAAGGCTATAATTAAAGGCTCAGGCGGAAGGGATTATAACAGAAGTAGGCAGAGCCACCCAGGACCTGAGGCTGGCATCAGGAGTCCAGTGCTGCTGAAGATAACATTCAGGAACCTTCCTCCCCTGGCCTCCCAGGACTTGGCTTCCAGGAAGGTTGCCTGGCCTGGTCTAGCAAGTGGTAGAAAGCCAAGGAAGGAGTTCCATACCTAGAGAAAATTTGGCTTCCAGGGAAGAACAAAAGTCATGTCATTTTCCAAGTGAAATGGATTCAAAATTTTCAATTTGTCATTTCTAAACAAAATACTAAGGGCAAAATTGTTCCTCATGAAGATGGTGACTAGGGCCAGCTCTGGGGTGCAGATATGGGTAAAGCTGAGGTCTGTGTGCCTGGTGTGGTCAGATGCCATCCTATGCTGGGACTTAAGAGTTATCTACCTGAAAACAAAGACTCTGGGGAGTGGCTTTCATTACTGTCATGAGTGTCATGCCATTTTGATGATGGAAATGACTTCTTTCAGTGTGTTACATTATGTCTGACTCACCTCTGTATTCCAAAAATTTACCACAGTGTCCAGTGTATGATGAAAATTTCATTACCTTTACATCTACCTTTCTAAGTTTCCACCTATCTGTACATCCAGCTATATACTTATTCACCTATATACTGCATCCATCCCTGGAGTTATCCATTCATCTATCTCTACTTAGCCATCCATCCATTCATCCACTCACTTATCCACTTACCTATTCATCCACCTACCCACCGTCTAGTTGCCCTCCATTTACCCACTTATCCACTCCATCACCTGTTTACCCATCATTATGTCACCCAACCATCCATCCATCCATCCATCCATCCATCCATCCATCCATCCATCCACCCACCCACCCATCCATCCATCTTATTATCCACCCATCCAACCCATCCATCTATCCACCCAGCCATCCATTGCTCAACTGGGCAAGACTGACTGAAAAATTTGCTAAGCTAGACTGTTCTAGGCCCCTAAGATTCAGTGGCAGACACACAGGCTCCTTACTTTCATGGGCTTCTATTCCAGTTAGGGAAGCAGACAATAAGAGTGAGGTATATATGAGGAGATAGCATTTAAAGAAAGCTCAGTGATCTTAAGAAATGCCCAAGAAGATGAGAAGGCTGTCTAGGCAAAGGCATAAGCCCGGGTGGAGTGTGCCGTGAAAAGAAAGACAGGTCACTCTGGCCTCTTTGTACAGAGGTGTGGAGACAATTGGAGGATGTTGGAGCAGAGGGAGTTGAAGGCTTGCAAGGATAGTCCTTATGGAGAAGACAACTGAGGCTGGATTTGGAAAGACTGGTAAGCCAATCCCCCGGGGTATGGTTCTGTTGTATAAAGAGCTGATCCCCTGGGATGTGGCTGGATATGGAGCATGAACTCCAGAGGGAGCAGAGGTGGCTGCTCTAGGGAAGGACACTGGGGAAGAAAAGAAGCACTGCAGGGTTTTAGCAACTTGACCATGAGGTTAGGAGGGAGTACAGGGGTTAACAGACCCAGAGATTGTAACTGACAGCTAAGGATGTCAAGGTTGCCTGGACCAGGGCCAGAGGAGCCTGGGGCCACTGGAGGTCAGGCAGAGGCTACATAAAGTGGGAAGAAAATCAGCAACTAAGGCAAGTGATGGTGCCCAAAAGCTGACTTGTGGATTTGGTGGTAGTGGATAGGCAGAAGCAGAAGCTGCTGCCCTGGGGCAGAGCAGGCAGGCCCACAGTAGGTTGGAAGTGGGGTTTATACCATAAGAAGGCATGAGATAGCCTCCCAGAGAGCAGGAAGGCAGACACATTAGTACCTTTTGCTGGTGGAAGGTATACTATCTGCAGAAGCAAGAGCAACTGGGCACTCTGGAGTCTGCTAAGTGGCCTGAGCACCTGAGTTGGATGGCCCAGCATACAGTCCTGCCTGTCTTGACTGGCACAGAGTCTGAGGTCAGACAGTGCCCTTTCCCCCTGCTGGCACTCAGAAACTATCTGTTGAACTTTGTCCCAGTTTTGTTCCTCTGCAGCCCAAGCTTAGGTTGATTGCCATTTATAGGCATGTTACTGTCTGCTCAGGGTGCCAGCAGGCTCCAGGGACTCAGGGATGTGGGGGTGGGGTATTGTTTGAGAATGGGAAACCTGGTTGGGGGTGGGGGGGCTCAGCTGGGACTCTCAGCAATTTTTTTTTTTTGTACTAGGGACTGAACCCAGGGTCTGTGCACTGAATTACATCCCCAGCTCTTTATTCTTTGATAGTCTTTTGAAGTCATTAAGTTGTGCAGGTTGGGTACAGCTTTTGATCCTCCTGCTTCACTCTCCCGGAGTGCTGGGATTATAAGTGGGTGCTGCCATGCCTAGCTAGAGAATCTTAAAGTAGCTCTGCATGACAATGTTGCTGCTGACACCCCAAGATTTAAGGTTCACTTTTGAAGTTTGTCACTTCTTGTGTTCTGAAACCTGACTGCCTTGGACCAGCTCCACTGAGGTTTGTTTTTATTTTTATTTTATTATTTTTAAAGGCTATAATTTTTTTTTCTTTTTTTCCCCCATAACTTTATTGATAAACAAATAGCAATGAGACAGCTTCAAATCAAATTGGTAGGACAGTTTCAATAATTCACACATTGCATACATTCTTCTTAGTGGTTAATTGCTGTACAAGATGTGGATATGATATCCTATTTACAAACACCATTAGAACAAATCACTCTATTCATTAAGAGAATGTAACTATATATCTACCCTAACCACTTTGAATACACAGATACAAAATGGACATTCATCTGTATCCCCTTTTTTTGTTAAGTTCCGTTATTTGAATGAGGTTCGTTTTTAGAGTGGAGCCTTATCCACAAAAATCCCTGTAAGTTTGGAGCCCCACAGGGTCATGGGAGAGCCAATATGCCAGGCCTTTCGCCTCCCAGTTCCAAGTCCATGTACTTTCTGCCAAGCCCCGTGATGAGAGAACAGCTGCAGCTCCCTCCCCAGCTATAAAAAAACCCTAGTGCCCCATTGAGCAAAGACACTCAGGGTGCTTAGGCTGAGCCATGCTGAGGTTCGGCCCTGCCATGCAGCTGCTCCAAGCCCCCCTCAAGTGCTGGGTGGTTTCCAAGGCCCACATCTCTGCCAAGCCAGCCAGAACCCCTACTTCCCCTATGGTAAGTGACTTGAGATGGCAGTGGTTGTTCTGGGTTTGGGACAAGTCCAGGCTGGGAGAGGGAGGTGGCTGTGGGCCTGGTCAACTACGGCTGCAAACCTGATGGCCAGGAAAGGGGTCCTAAATGCATCACCCACGTGACAGCCTCCCAAGGCAGCCACAGTGGGGCTGATGGTTCTGCTCCCAGGCCTGTCACCTCCAATAAAAGGCAGTAGTGACCCTGAGCAAAGATGGCCTGTCACTCAGCATTCCCTGACAGGGCAGTTGGGCAGGAGAGGTGGAAACCTAAGCCCAGGTCAGAAGTGTTTAAGCATAAATAAACTAATGTCTAGAAGGTTCTCTGCTAAAGGTCATTTAGCTAAGATCAAAATCCAGACTAAGGTCACTGTTTTAAGACATTTTCTCTTAAACTGCTGAGGCTGGAGGGAATAGGCTCTAACCTGGAAGGTTTTTAACAGGTGTGAGGTGGATCACGTGACTGGCCTGCTAAGGATGTGGATCGTCTCACAGCATCCCTATATATATGGCTGCAGGAAACTAGGAAGTGTGTGTCTATTTTGCTGGAGGCTCACCAGAAGGATCTCAGATCTGAGCCCCAGGCCATTCCTCCTGGTGCCCCAGGTTGTCCTTGCTAAGGGTTAAGGGTTAGGTGCTATCATGGAGGTCACTGCTCACCCCAGCACAGAAACTTGAAAACAGCCTGAGCTTGGTGGAGATAACTGGCCAAGTGTTGGTGTGTGCGGGGGTGGGGTTATTTCTCTCCAGCTTGACATCTGCATCTGGTTAGGACTGAACCAGTGGATTCATGTATACTTTTCTCCACCAGGAGCAGGCAGTGGGGATCTCAGCCATATTCATCAGTTTCCTGGTTCCTGCATGCTGGGTCTTGTCCCACCTGGAGAGTTACAAGAAGAGCTCTATAGCATGAAGACCCCATAGCCCCACAGGACAGAGCTATGAAAGATCACATTAAACCTCCTTCTTCGTGCTGCTCTTATTGATTTATCCAGGGCCCCACTCCCAACAGAGACTGAGGGGTATACTCAGTACCAGGCTGTCTTCCTGGCTGGCTCATGCTGACATGGGCACATCGATTGCCCATGTGAATGCTGCAAGATGGCAAGGGTATAGATACCTGTGTCTGGGAAGGCACCTGGTGGGCAAAAGGGGTGGCCAAGTGCTGGGTTCTGTTATACTTTGAATGTGGTAGGAGGGGAGTGAGTAGCCATAGATTTCAGCTCAGGAGCAGGTTTGCCCTGGAAGTAAAGCCCAAGGATAGGCCAAAGACATGACAAAACAAAGGCATTTATTACAGGAATAGTCTTACACCACACTGGAAAAGATGTCCACAAAGATGCATATGAATGAGGACCCTCCTTGGGGTTTATGTCCTCTGCACAGAGTACAGGACATCCTTTCCTGGTCAGGTTCTTAACCCTCCCTCATCACCTGAGGCCACTACAGGCTATGAGACACTCCATAAAGGAGCCTTCTTCTCGTATCCAGCCCCCATCAACAACAGTTCTGCTTTCAAAGCAAAAATAATCCCTACTCCCACAAGGGTCCAACTTGCCCAAACCAACGCAGATCTCTGCTGCTGAAAGTTTCATGGGCCACAGAAAGGCTTCTTGGGTGGAGTGGGGCCACAGGGCACAGGCACTAGGTGAGGATATCATGGGCCTGGTGCTCCACCAGCATCTCCATGCTCTTCACGTCTGTGCACCAGAACTCCAGGCGGTCCTTCATCCCCTTGATCTGTAGGCAAGTAGGGACAAGAGAGGCATTAGGACATGCAGGGTCACAGGCCAAGGGTCAAGCACTATAAACCTTAGGGGTGGGCTGGGGGAATGGGATCACCTGGTCAGTTCTTATCACAGGGAGTCTGAAAACCTGAGTTAAAGAACAGGCATAAATAGAGGAAACCCAAAGGATAAAATTTCCAGCAAACATAAAGATGGATTTGAGCTCAAATCACAAAACCAGGAAATATTTGATCAGAGTACCAATTTTCAGATTAAAGGGCATCATGAGCACAACCAGCACTATTGTCCCAGTAAGTTTCTAAGCACAAGGCAGACCACAGGCCTGCATCAAGCTATATTCAAAGGAAAGCCCTCGGTCCTATGGTAGTAATCTACTTCCCAAACCCAGGTCAGGTAATGTTTTCCTCCTAGATGGCCTCTGTCCATGTGAAACCAAGACCCAGACACAACCCAAATCCCTTACAGGTGAGGGAGGGGCCCAGCCACCTCACCTGTTGCAGATCTAGTACGCGGGGCTGAACCCAGGTCATGTGGACTCGCTTGTCGACCTCATCTATGCTACCTCTCACCAGCCCCACTGAGAGTGCTTTCATCACCAGCAGCTCTACCTGTGAGGAGAGGCTCAGGTTAGACAGCTGACTCTGGCAGCTTCTGCAGACGGGACGCTTCTCCCGTTGCCTGGACAGTACGGGACTGAGCACTTACAGGCCTCAGCTCCCACACCACAAATCCTAGTATCGTACCTCGTTCACAGTGATTTTAGCACTTTTGGCAATTTCTTCAAAAGTGAGCTGTCTGTGGTTGGCAGGTCGCGTGAAAGTCATCTGAAAGAAAGATGTTCATTAACTACTTTTCCAAATAAAAATGCTAAGAGAATTGACTGGCAAGTGTATTTTTCTAAATACTTGTGTATTTCTCTAAAAACAGGGATCATCTTTAGTATTCTACATACTAAAATTTCCTTGGTATCTGTCTTATCTTACTCAGAGCAAACTTTCAAAAAAGCTTTCACCTTGAGAAAAAGGTGAAAATCGCTTTACATGAATTCTCAACAACAGTTATCACTCATTCCATGAACAGGCAGTTGAAGGTCCAGAGTACACTGCAGGAAGCCAGAAACTCAAGCCCCATTTCCTCAGAAGCTTATACCCTGGAGAGGACACAGAGGCCAGGAGGGACCAGTAGCAGATCAGCTGTGTTTGGATGAGGAAGGGGCAGTCATTCTAGCTCAAGTTGTGGTGGGGAGAAGGGGAGACAGACAGTCAGTGATGGCAGATGACTGTCTGAGGGGCTAAAATATAAACTTGAATAAGCCAGTCGGCAGCAGGGAGGGTAAGGAGTGGAGCACGGAAAAAGATGTTCACTTGGAAAAGTTGCAGCTCCTGGGTACATCTTACCTCCATCAGACACAACAACTGAATCTTCCGCAGAAGCTGGGTTTCATTGGCAGCTAAGTCAGGCTATAAAGTGTAGAAAAGACATGTTACCTATGTTTATGCTTGTCAGCTGCCTAACCTTGGCTTTAAATCCAGACAAGGGATGTGCACTCACGTCACAAGAACACCAAGAGACATTTAGAGCCCCTTGAACCCAAAGCACCATTAAGGAAGGATGGGGTCCCAGGAGCTCCTGGGTGGCCCTGGATGTTAAAGCATAGCTACTCTGAGGATCCCTATATATCACTGGCTTATACTGAACCCAAAGAGCAAGTGATTCATTTAGAGCAAAACAACAAATCACCTATTTTTAAGAATTGGAATACACACTGTAAAGCCTGCATTTCTACTTGCAGGTGGAGGCAGGCTCTTCTATGAGCACAAAATTAAAAGCAGGAGCACTGATCAGCGCTAATTCAAATGTTGAGAAACTCATAACCCTGACAGGCAGCCCTGACAGGGAGACAGGGACACTCCTGTTGTGGGTACTAGACAAATCCTGCTAACATTCACCTCTGTATTTCCTCTATTCCTTGAAACTGCTATAGTTAGACAGCTTTTGTTTCTTTGAAACAAGGTCTTGGTTTGTTGCCCAGGCTGGTTTCAGGTGATCCTTCTGCTTTAGCTTCCAGAGCAGTGGGGACAAGTGCACAATAAGTGAGGTGTGTTTTGAGTTTTTGATAGTCTCTTAACCTACACTTCACCCTATTCCATCATGTATGAATTCTACAAATGTGTTTTAAACTTTGGGAAAATAGAAAATATCAGAAAAATATGAAAACAACAAATCACAATTTGTTTTGTTTGTTTTTTCAGAACTGGGGATTGAACTCAGACCCTTGCGCTTGCCAGGGAAGCACTTATTCTACTGAGCCATCTCCCCGGCCCCCCACAATCACAATTTCTACCACAGTTAATTTTTTAGAAATATTTGCTCCCAATAATTTCATTTTAAAAAAAAAAGTCTTACTGTTTAGTACTCTCAGGGTGGCTCACTCCCACCCTGAAACTCCTTGTCTGGGCTGGTCCATGTGCACTGTTCCTGCCACTCCCCAGGACTGACTGCTCTCTCCCTCCTTCTCCCTTTCTTTTTTGGCAGAACCGGGGATTGAACCCAGGCCCTTGGGCTTGCCAGGCAAGCGCTTATTTTACCGAACCATCTCCCCGGCCCCAATGGAGTTTTCCTTTTTTTTTTTTTTTAAATTATTTCTTCCTTTTTTTTTTGGCAGAAGTGGAGACTGAACTCAGGCGCTTGCACTTGCTAGGCAAGCACTTATTCTACTGAGCTATCTCCCCAGCTCCTTCTACCACTGTGCTTGTTCCCTCTATCTTCCCCTTCTCTCATGTTCCCTATCTGTCTGCTCATATTGATTATAGGTCTCTGGTTTAGCAAACACACTAAGAGTCTCCTTTTCCCCTGCTCTTTCTAGTTTCTTCACTCATTCCTTGGAAGGGTTCTATGCCACCTTCTAGTTAGCACAGATGAAGGGCACATTCAACTCTGTTCTTCCCATATACCTTCTGCCCTACCTTTAGCAGACCATCTGATTCCCTGCTCTGTGACCGCAGAGCCAGGCCTTCCATAGTATCTGATATGCTAGGATCTCCCAGGTGCCTGCTGTGTGCAGGGAAGGGCTCAGTGAACATTTATTGAATAAATGGACAAATGTAGAGATGAACAAGGCCGTTGGCAGGTAAGACTCACCTGGTGGCCCCAGGCACTCTTCAGAGTCTGGAACCTGTCCACATCACCACTATTGAAGGCATAGAGGGTGTCAATCAGCCACTGCCGGTCAGTGCCCCGCAGTGACTCCAGCACGGGGTGCATGAGCTATGGGAATGCAGACAGTCAGTTGGCAGAAAGTCAGCCACCTTAATCACCAAGTAATCTGCTTCACAGCCAACTTACTAATTCTCCAAAGTTAAAAACTCCCTCGCCGAGAAGTCCCGCAAGGCCCAGTGTGAAGGCTCTCTCCTGCTGCTCTGAAACTAGGGCAAGAACATACCCAGTCATATGTGTCACCACAATCAACCTTGTTTGGCTTTAAGAAAACTTGCAGAACAAAAGCAAAGATGCCTTCTCAGTAATGACTGAGCATTAACATTAGCTGTTCTAAATGTACTGAATTGCTTGATTATGTAAGCAGCCACACATACATACATACATACATACAGGAGTTTTGTGGGAAGAACATTCATTTGTTATTTTTCCTAAATATACATGACTCTATGTACTGCTCAGCATATATTGCTTCTCAGGGTGAGGAGTACTCAACCCCTCATCTGCTGTGAGAAGTAGCCCTGTTGCTCAGGTCTCAGAGTTAGTTAAGTCTGCCTCTCTATACATTAAAATTAAATTGTCTTTTGTTCCCTAGCAAACAAACTCTTTACTTTCTTTATTGCATTTGTTGCTTTAACAATATATTTTTCTCAAGACACACAAAACAAAACTGCATCAGCATGTTTAAGAGTTGCTGGTCTCCTTACCTGCAACAGTGTATTATGCAAAATATAAAATATGGTGAAATATTTTTTTAAATACACACTTGGCACTTTTCTTTTCCTCAGATTCTTAAAACACTTGCGCAAGAGGCTTGAAGCTTTACTTCTCAGATCATGGATTCAGAGTTCAGAGTGCTCACCATGGACCCCGCTGGAGCTTTAGCTTGAGAACAAGGATCTCAGCTATGGGATTGCATGTTCTCCACTCTGACAAGGGTCAGGCAGTACTGACATCACTGTACTTCCTGCAAGACCTCTGATGAGGATAACAGTGACTTGGAGAAAGAA